ACCCTTCGGCACCGTCCTCGCAAAGCCGTCCCTGGGGGCAAGCAGGCCAGTTGACAAGGGTGGGAGAGCACGCGATGTGAAAACTGTGCAGAAACGTGATGAAAGTCGGCGACTCCATTTGTGCGGCTCAGATCTTGGGGTTAACTTGCGTGAGTTTGGTGTATTTGGCCTTTTTTTCAGGGTGAGTGGTACCTTTCCTTACTGGAGTGGCAACCCAAGCTCCAGCTTTCCGTCAGTACTGCAGAGCTCGGGCCTGCCGCTTGCAAAGGGCGCGTGAGAGGCTCAGGTCAGCGTGGAGGCCACTAGGTCTCGTTGCCAGGGTTGTGACCGCTGTGGGGGCAGCCGGCCTTTCTGGCCCTGCGAACCGCTGGTTAAAGCTGGTGTGTGGGCAGGCATGCTGGGGTGGGCACAGCTAAGGCCAGGCAGAGCTTGCAGAGTTGTTGACAAGGGGGAGGTGACCGTGTCCTCTTGGTGTCCCCATCCCTGTGGGCTGTTTTGGGCTGCATGTGTAGCTTGAGACCCCAGAGGACGGATGTGCCCCAAGCTGGCATGGTTTCTCCTGAGGCTGGGATTTTTGGGTTATTTGGCAGTCTAGTGCTTTCCACAGCTCTACAGCCACTCAAGTGGTGTGTGCCCACTTGAGTAGCTTGAGAGGTGGTTGACGGCTCTGAAATAACATGTCATCCACAGTGCCAGTTTGTGATATGTAATGTGATAGGAGCATGTGCCATGTCTGCAGAATCAGACTGAGGCAACTCTACACAGTGGCTATTACACAGAGGTGACTCTTGTCATTATTGGCCTGGTTTGAACTGATGGTGAATTAGATGTTTTGTGTCCATTACTAGTTTTAGGTGTTCTTTTCCCCTCCTCTCCCCTGACTTTGGTTTTTGAACGTGAACGTGGTATCCAGAAGTCATGAAATATAAATCAGATGCTGTTGCCCGAGTAATCGTGACACTGAGCTTGCAAATTGATCTATGTTCACAATATTTTAATCATAGTGGCTTTGACTATAAGGAGTGACACTTTGTTTTCTGGGTGGCAAGGAAAAAGCTGTGGTCTGATTTGTCTTTTGGAACTGGCTTTTTATCCTGTTTATTGCTATCTAATATGATCAATATGTATTGATCTTGATGTGATCATAGTGTGAGTGGTTGATGTGCTTTATGCTTAGCTTTCTGAGACAGAGTTTTTGTTTGTTATCTGCTTTTGAGTTTGTTTGCTCAGCCCTTCCTCACCACAGTACAGTCAGTAAACAGGAATGCTCTTGCTTCTGTTTTTCTCTCTTTTTCCCCTCCTGTCCCTGTTCCCTGCTCCCCAGAATGAATGAAATGAACTTGAGTCCTGTAGGGATGGACCAGCTGACCTCATCCTCTGTGAGCAATGCCCTGCCGGTCTCGGGGAGTCACTTGGGATTGGCAGCGTCACCCACTCACAACGCCATACCAGCACCAGGTAATGGGGAAAGCTCCCACAAAGGGTATTTGCAGCTCATGCTCTGTGTGTTATCATCACGGGAATGTTTGTAACTGGGTAGCAGTGCTTGCTCTGATAGTAAGGCATGTCTTTAGCAGGTAATGAAGTGGTGTGGAATTGGGGATGGGTAAGCCATAAACCAATGCTTATGTGGCCAAAGCAAAAGGGATGTGTGCTTACCTGGCTTATGCCTTAATGGGAGTCTCATTTTCTAATGGGGTGGTTTGCACTGTGGGTGGGTGTGTGGTAGCAGAATCCTTTGAAATACGAACTGTATCTGCAAATCTGTCTCCATCTATGTCTATCTTCACTCTGGTGAAAATAATGATTTTTCACCTGTAAAGCCAAACTGTTTTCATAGCTCTTTTTTTTAGGGAGCTACACAGACAGAAGTCCATCACAATTGTAAAGTGGAAGCAGGCCCTACGTAATGTGAAAAAAAATGTAGCCATATTCAGGCATGCCTCTCAGTGCTGTGATAACTGTGATCCTTTCTTTGAAGCTTGCCACCTTACTTTGACAGTACCATACTGTACTTCCATAGGGAGCTTCTGAGGAATTAGTAACCTCTTTGTTAGCTTGTGTGTTCATAAGCTCAAGTAGCTCCACTGAATTTAAATGGGCATTTTCTTCTCCAGGCTTGCCTGTTGCAATTCCAAACTTGGGCCCCTCCCTGAGTTCCTTGCCCTCTGCTCTGTCTCTGATGCTCCCAATGGGTATTGGGGATCGAGGAGTGATGTGTGGTATACCAGAGAGAAACTACACCCTACCTCCACCACCATACCCTCACCTGGAGAGCAGCTATTTCAGACACATTCTACCTGGTAAGTGGTCTGGTGCTGATGGATGGGAACGGGGAGAGAAATTCTTTTAAGAGCTACCTGTTTCTGTCCTGAAGCAGGCAAGACTGACTGTTTTGCAGAGCTGTAAATTCCTGGAGTTTGTCTGGAGTCTGTTGTGCCATTTACACACCTTTATTTTCAGGTCTATGTTTCTATGTATATATATGGAGCGAATTGCAGGGTATTTTCTACTTAAACTGAACCTCTGGTCAGTCTTCCTGCTGCTTTGTTTTTAAGATTAACAGAAAACAAGGCATACCCGGTTTCTATCTCAAATTGTTTTAGTTTGATAACTGCTGCTTTTTTTCCTGTTGTCTGAAGCAGTACTTGATATGTGCATCATGGTAGGTTACAGTAGTTCAAAGCTCAAAAGAGCAAGGTGTCATCCTTGTCACCATCAGGTGAGGAGTTTGGGCTCTTTCCCATCCCTTTAACCCATAGCATAGATTTTCTTCATTTTTGTTCAAGGTTAGTTTCTAAAGGCATACTGATTTCTATCTTGATTCCCCTCTCTCACATCTGTTTTAGAGTATAAATGTAGAATTCTACATGTTAGCATATGAAGACACAGAAATTCAAGCTTTAAATGTAGTCCTTGTTTTGTTTTGTAGCTAAGATTGGCAGGGTGGAAGGGGGTAGATAAACTTCTTCAAGGTCAACAACCTTCTTCAAGGTTGTTGGTTCAGCCTAGGTTGGAAAAAGAAATATAGCAGCCCAGATCTCATCAATTACCTGATGACCAGCGGCTGAACTTCCCAGTTGCTCAGAAGTAACCTTTCGCATTGCATTACATGCCTGTCCATTTTGTGGGCAAAGAGTAGAGGAGGAGACAGTGCATTTGAGGACTGAAAGTATTTGCCATTCTTCTGAGCTGGAATAACTTATGCAGAAATGGATTTTTTCTTTCTAGTCTGCTTGACGTTTAGCCTGATGTTTCATAGGACTCTTCTGTCAGTCATCTTACTGCCTTCAAGGATCTTTCTTGTTCAAGCCACAGGGCAGCATAGGATGCAGAAATATTTGATGCAGCTGATTAAATTAAACTGTCCATTTCTTGGCTTAGCCATTTTTAATGGGGTTATGCTGCAGAAAGAATCTCCATGCTTGCATGCTTGTAATAACGGACATGTTTGAATGGAAAACTTTTACAGAACAAATGGCTTATAGGGTTCAAGGCCAAAAAGAAACGTGCAGAATCTGCAAAATCTGTTTCTGTCTCCACTGGAAGTACTGTTTACTTGAATGTGCTGATGTATTTCCTCTGAAGGATTTTTTTTTTTTAGCTTTGTCCAACGAGAGATGTTGGTAGTATGTAAATACAGGTTAGTGTTTCTTTGTATCTTAAGTTCCAAGGTTGTTTGAGGATTTTTCCAGAGCTACCAGAAAAGATGTTAGGGTTTCTGATTTAAATTTAACTGGGCTATTGTTTTAGGAGAAACAGCATACTTTTCATCTGAGGAAAGAGAGCAGATGACTCATGATACCTTTGAGAGACCTTATCGTGGCCCTTCAGAATTGCAGTTGATGATCTCTGAGATGGACAGTTGTGTCATAGAAGAAGAAAGTAGTCATTGTTAAAACTAAAATATTGAAGCAAAAAGGGTGTATCCTGGAGAACTGTTTCTACTTCTCCTAGCAAAGTTGAACGAGGGATTATCAAATGTTAGACTTCACTAGCAGTCCTTCATCTTTTGTGAACTATTTCTTGAGAACGACGAATTACAACTAAAATGTGAAGAAACTCTTTCTGATTCAGTCTCTGTACTCAGGAGCCTAGGTTAGATGCTGCCAGAAACTTGGCGCTTCAGAGTTTGACAAATAACTAGAGACTTGCTCTGTTGGATGGAAGCTTTATATTTGTTGTCAAATGATACTTTGACAAGAGTGTTGGGTTGGTATATGTTTGTGAGCCATGTTTTAGAATTAGTGGGTTTTAATTGGACATAATATAAAGAGCGTGTCTTCAAGGATCTAGGTCTTAATGTACTATGCTGCGATGGTGGGGTATTTTTGGTCAAGATTTGAAAACTGATGTCATCTCACTCTCTTCTCTTTCCCCCTCTCATTCTATCAGGTATCTTATCGTACTTGGCTGACAGGCCTCCACCTCAGTACATCCATCCCAATACTATAAATGTTGATAGCAATCCGGCATTGTCAGTCTCCAGCAATCCCTCAGCCCTAGATCCCTACCAGCCCAGTGGAACCGTGGGGCTGGAACCAGGGATTGTCTCCATGGACTCCCGTACAGTGAACACGCATGGTGCTCAAAATCTGCATCCTAGTGACAGCCACGAGGTAGCGCTGGATACTACAATCACTATGGAGAGCGTTTCGAGGGTAACCAGCCCCATCTCTACTGATGGGATGACAGAGGAGCTTACGATGGATGACGTAGCCGGGGATCATTCGCAGATCCCAAACAGCTCCCGGAGCCATGAACCTTTAGCCGTAGACACAGTGGGGAGTAACTTGACGTCGGACGCTGTGGGACACGGTGGTGTCATTCCCATTCACGGTAGCACTTTGGAACTCCCTGTCGTCATGGAGCCCGACCACATCTCTGGGCGGGTGACAGGAATTTCGGACAGCACACTAAATGACTCCATTCATACTGTGGCCATGAGCACCAACTCTGTGAGTGTGGCGCTTTCTACCTCACACAACCTAGCTTCCCTGGACTCGGTAGCCTTGCACGAAGTGGGCCTCAGCCTTGAGCCAGTGGCGGTGTCTTCCATAAATCAGGAAGTAGCCATGGGGCCAAGTCACGTGGATGTGTCTGCAGACAATCTTGCCTTCGTACCATCCTCTCTGCAAATGGAAGACTCCAATTCGAATAAGGAGAACATGGCAACCTTGTTTACCATATGTGAGTGGGCATTTCCTGCTTTCTTGGGGTAGGGTTTGTTATGGAGCTGTTGTCTGGTGGGATGACAGGACTCTTGTTGTTAGTCTTACAGATCTCTGGTGAAAGAATCTTAGTTATTTAACAAGTCCACAAAAGTTGGAACATCTGCTGTGGCAGATTAATCTCACTGAAATGATGGTAGTTGGAAGTAGGCATAATAGGATGTTTTAGCATTGTTCTCTTTGTATCCATCTTCCATGTTGCCTCGAGGTTGAAAAATCTGTCCTTTGCAGTGAGACTTTTGTTTTTAAATGTCACATTACAAATGACTCTGCTTGCTTTGTTAAAAAAAACAACAAAGACCACCCCAAGCCATACATTTCATCAAATGGGTGTAGTTGTTGAGTATGGCACTGTGAGATTTTGCAAAATTTTTATTAAACTTTGAACAAGCATCATGACAATGTTGTTCTCAATAGGACCTGCTGAAAAAAAGAGCAGAGAGGGAGGGAAGTTTTTAATATTTCTAATTATTCTCAACAAAAGACTACAGTCCAGAGGTTAGTTCATCTCCTAGGAAGAGAGGAGCACTGGACATTGCACTCTCAATCCTGTCATCATTCAAGGAGTGTTGTTTGAGAACTGAAGTTCTCGTTTGCTGGGACAGAGATTTGAACTTCTACCCGCAGTATGTCTGGCTTCCCGCCACTGAAGTGTAAGGCCAGCTTTTATATTCAGTTTTATTAGTTGTGGTAGCATTGCCGAGTGCTGCACTTGCACGCAATCTGGCCATACAACTGCCAGAGCCTTATGACAAGCTTTGCCTGCAGAACATTTTTTAAGAAACGGAAAGAAATAGTGCCTTGGTTAGCAGTGGGAGGGTGCAATTTAGTGCAAAGTTTCTAGTCAGACATTTGAATTAAAATTTTTATTCTGTGCAGTAAAATCTAACTTAGAGTCATGTGGGTGTAGAACTATGATCAATTTACAGTTCCTAGAGGAAGAGTTTTACAGCTGATGCACTCGGAAGTTCTTACAAGCATCTGTTGCATGGTGAACAAATAATGATCAAAATACTGTCATATCCAACATGCGCATGGTGAAATCACTTTTCTTATTCACCCAAGTGAGATTTGATGTGCCAGCTTATTGTCGCTATACTTAAAATAATCCAGAGCTGTTTCCCAGGTGATGTTCCCCATTGGTAGGATGTTCTAACAGCTATTGCATGCCTAGTGCTTTCATGTGATTTGCAAAATAGATCTTGACTTGGGAAGGGTTACATCTTAACTTTTTTTTGTTGGTTTTAAAATTCTCCTGAATAAAACATGAATTTGTGTCTGGACAGGTAACAACAAGGAGGAGGAGTTGTGTTAGAGCCTCTTGGTGGTTTTTCCCCACTTAGAAGGCAGGAGTCAGGGCCTTTTTCAGAAAACTTTTTACACTGTTCCTAAGTGGGAAGAAAAAAGTGTGCCTTTGCTGCAGTCCTAAATGTTTGTGAAACCTTTAAGTTTAAGTTAAGCCCTTTTTTTGATCATCTTTGCTTACAGTTCTGGGTACCCAAATCAGAGAAGTAATCACTGTGATTTTTCTTTTTTTTTTTTTTTTTCATTATTTGGCAAGGACAGGAATGGAAAGGAAACAGTATTTTTCGCTTCCTGTAGAATGTGGGATTTTTATTTTCAGTTTCTTAAGAATGTATGAATCCCTAAGTCTTTCCAAGTAGAAGTGTCACATGCCAAGAATTTGCTTTTCTTCCTCTTTGACTCTCCTTGGGGCTAGTCCACAGACCCATAAGTGGTGTATGCTAGGCAATGCTTAAAAAGAACTGTTCTAAATTACTTGGGTCGGGTTGCTGTACTCCTACATGTCACCTGTGCACATGAAGCAATTATATAGGCTCTACCTTTCTGAGTACCTTTCTATCTGTAATTGTGTAGTTGCTCAAACTGTACTTTGTATGGCTTCTGATTCTGGTACCCTGATGTATTAAGGGAGTGTTCCAAAAATCTCTTTAAACAAAGTAATAATTGGAGCTGCTGTTCATGTCTGCTGAAGACTACTTCTGTGATAGGGCTTTTATACTGGAGTTGGGCCATCAAGAGGCCAAAGAAGGTCTTTGTGGAGAACCTGCTTAATTAGCTGACCGTCTTTCTTCAGAAGAATGACTTTTCAGGAAGATAATTGCTGAGTAGGTGTTGGTTGCTCCATTCACAGAAAATTAAAATTATGTAATTTTTCTAGATGAGAGCATCTTATGCTGTACTTTTTCCCAAATTTATTAAACGGATCATGTTTAGTGGTTTATTTTTCAGCAGTACTTATGCTGAATGACAGATTGGGAAAGTGATGCTACTGATTCCTCTTGGGCTTTTGTTTTTGTTCCACTCAGTGGTATTCCACAGAGGAGTATTTTATGAGTTTATTGCAGTTGGTCCTTCAAAAGTAGCAGCAAGGTGAGGTTTTTGCTGCTGTGAAGATTTGCATGTTCTCTGAATTTAAATGGAAATAAGGGGATTTGTGCATTCAAATTGGAAAAAAATTAGAAGACCTTGCTGTTCCTTTGCATGAATATCCTTGAAGTTCTACATGCAAGAAAACTCTTGTGTTCCTGGTAAATTCCAAAACCATAACCAGTTAGAAAGGGTTTGGTTTGGTATGCCTTGGATTCTTCTGCCAAGAAGCATTACTGCCAGCTGGGGAGACTACCATCCATTTTGCAGTAGTTTTGATGAAGAGTGGACTCTGTCCCATTGCTAGATTGCCCCTGTAGGAAGAGTCTAGGTGATTAATTTGCTATCAGGAAGGCAAGTGGACATCCTCGTGTTTGATCTGAATTGGATAGGAACAGTGACGTGTAAGTCGGTGCCCATCTGACTGTGATAATATGGTTTATGTTCTTCTCAGTAAAAGCTAGTAAAGCAGATGAGTTAGACCAGATAGAAGCAGCCTTTGGCAGGAGCTGAGCTGAAACATACTGGCAAGGAGCTGATTGCACCATAGGGTCTGTGGCATCTTTTTAACCCCTGTTGTCCCTTCTTCTCTCTGCAGGGTGCACACTGTGTGACAAGGCATATCCATCGGACTGCCCAGATCATGGGCCCGTCACCTTTGTCCCTGACACCCCAATAGAGAGTCGAGCCAGGCTTTCTCTCCCTAAGCAGCTTGTCCTCCGGCAGTCTATCATGGGAGCTGAAGTGGGTAAGAATCAGATTACTCTATATTTCTATGCAGCAGTTTAAAATACATTCATTGTCTGAAATCAAAAACCATAGGGAATTAAATGTGGGAAAGAAACACTGCGATAGAGAGGTGGTTCCCTCTTCTGTAATCACCCTGACTTACACTGTGCAAGAGTTTCTTGTCCTCTGGTTGCTGCTTAGACTTCAGCTAGACTCTAGGGGTGCTGCCACAGACCGTTACTGAAACGCTTGATAACATCAAGCACAAGCAAGGTATGGTGTTTATTTTTATTGTGTGCTAAACAGCCCAGGCACAGCTTTGATAAGGAAATGTTACAGCAATTGGAGTTTGGGGGAAGGTAACAATAAGAAATAATGGAGGATATTTCTGTCTGCTTGTTCATCAGCTTGTTATGCTACCTGTGGGTCTTCTGGATACTCTCACTGGAGAATTGATCACGAGTACCTCTTCTTTTCTTCCCCCCCCCCCTTACATTTGGCATGTAGACTGTGACCTTGTCATTGGATGTGGACCTTTTTACTGTGTTTCACACCATTGTCACCTGGAAGTCGAAGAGTACAGTGCAATACCCTAAGGATCTGAAGGCTAGAGAAGAATGTGATTATTTGGCTTGCTTAGCGATGCTGCTTGTTGAGAGTAGATTACATCTGTTCTTTTCAAGCTGCACTAGTTTCCAGTTTATTCCTAAAAGCTATTCAGTGTATTCATGTAGACCTATATATATAAATGTTTAATAATAAATAATATACACGCAGGAAACCCTCTGCCCATGACAGAAATACAGCTGCCTCTGGGGAGAAATGCAGAAGCTGCTTAACAATGCCCAGCAACAATTCTGGAAATTCCTGGGGATTAGGTAGGCGAAATGTAGTTACTGAAACTAGTATTTTCTGCTTCTGCAGAAAGTGCCATGAAAACTTTAATTGGTACAAGTGGCTAGGATCTTAGTTTTATAGCTTACTAAAAAGTAAATTACTTGCTTTTGACAAAAAAAATAAATATTTGTAAATAAAACAAAGCGGCTCCCAATAGTGTCATGTGGTGGTGGTGGTTCTTGTCTCTGCCTTAGGTGTGTTTCACATGTGAAGTAGAAGCTTTGATGATCTTTTGCCTAGATACTACCCCTGGAGAGTTATCTCATAAACCTTCCACCTCTTTGTTATGCATGATTAGTTGTTTAAATAATTGATTTCTGCAGATTTTGGTCTTCTACTGATAGGTGTGTGGACACGAGAAACCATTCCTGTAAGGACTTGTTTTGGACCTTTGATTGGGCAGCAGAGCCATTCTTTGGAGGTGGCTGACTGGACAGACAAAGCAGCTAGTCACATCTGGAAGGTCAGTGGATGTTATAGCTCACAGGGTTTGCAGGCATGCCTTTATCTGGGGAAAGCCACTGCATGACACAGCAGCTTTAACATTATCATCCTTGCCAAAAATGAAAATTAATGCGGTTTGATTGTTTAATACTTAATATCAGCATAGCAGAGCTGTATGCCAGGTAATAATGCTGGTAATCAATCCTGAAGTACAATGAACTGTAATGCCTTTTCTTTCAAAGGGCTGTATGTGGTTTCCAGTATTTGTGTGGAGTTGCAGCAGAGATTGTATATGAATTACTAGGCAGCACTTGTTTGTTTGTTTTGTATCATTGTTTATTGAAGGTTCCCCCAGGTGATGAAGGATTTGTTTTAGGAAAGCTGCTTTAAAGCTTTCTTTTTCACATCATTTCATGTTCAGGAAGTAGTATTGATCTATATAAATAAAACATGTACTGTTTGCCCAGATACTATTATTCACAAAACTTGGCTTGTAAGGAAAGCAGCCAAATGCATTTCTGCTGGGAGCTGAAGGTGGTGTGTGGGAAAGATGCTGATAATCAGTTTTTCTAGCCTCCTGGGTAGCAGAGAGGTCAAGATTCCTGTGTGAAGGGGAAAATATGGAGTAAGAACAGGGCTGTGGTCTTGGCAATGGCAATGGAGACCTCCTGGCTCGTTCTAGGTAAACACATCCTCTCTTAAAGAAAGAAGGTGGCTTCCACTGCATTTATTGCTATGTTTTGTCCTAAGATAGCTTTTGTTTTTCCTGGTAGATCTATCACAATGGTGTCCTGGAGTTCTGCATCATTACAACTGATGAAAATGAATGTAACTGGATGATGTTTGTACGCAAAGCTAGGTGAGAACTACCTGTACTGTGCTATGTAGCTTGGAGTCTGAGCTGCAGGCTCATAGGCGGCTGTGCTGGAGAATGTGCACTGCTGCACGGACTTCCCAGATGGGTAATGAGCTCGCGACCAAGGGACCTTCAGGAGTTATCCTGAGCATCTCGGACTGGTGGGGAGAATGAAAAAGGGCACCCAGTGGAGAGTGTTATGGGGAAACCAGTACGCATGCTGTAGTAAAACAGCTCCAAACCTGCCCACATACTTTGTTACCCTTGTTGTAAAGCTTTAAACCAGGCTCTTTTTGTATTAGTTTACTGTGTATTAGCTTGTTATTGCCTCTGTCCCATTCCTTTGGAATACATCAGTGAAGATGTTGATTGTCTTTTTGGTTTTAAAACTTTATTAGCAAAGTGTCCCTGGGTTCTTTTGACCAAGTTCCAAGCTCTTACAGCTCACAAGAGCTGTCTTTGTGGAGCCTCCAATGAAAACTATGCAGTCTGGCTTCAGTATTGCTCCATACACAGCCCATGGAAAAGGCTGAACCTTTCCTGTTGCTCTGTGACACAAAGTAGGTTTCCCCTGCAATTCATTTCATTGCTCCCATATGCAGGGGTCAAGAAGTTAATGCTTCATCTCCCACTGGAGAGGAGTGGGGCTGTGGGGCAGAGCTTTTGCTCATTTCAGGTACTGGGAACAAACAAACATATGCAAGATACAACTTCAGAAGATGAATTATCACATCTTGGAAATGCTTTTTGAGAGTTATTTTTGAACATAATTTTCCTTTAAGACTTTACTGATACTTATTTCTCCCTCATGTGTTCTCTATTTTTTAAGGATGTTAATATGAAAAATATATATATTTTTGAAATTGCTTAAAAGATCATAAACTCTCTTCTCTCAGCCCACTCCAATGTGTATTAATAATTTTCTCAGCAAGATATCACAGTGGTGTGAAAAAATATATCATTTGGTGATGCAGACTGGCTCTCAAGGTCCTGTTTTCCTTTAATAAAGAAGGACAGAAGTGACAGACATGAAAGTTTTTATAATGTGCTGACAGGCATTGAGGTTCTCTCGTTACCTATTTATAGGAATTTCCTTTTTTTATTTTCCTGTCTCAAAAAGTCATTATTTCTGAGGACCTTTTTTCATAACTCTTGTTATTGCTTTAGGAACCGGGAAGAGCAGAATCTGGTAGCTTATCCTCACGATGGAAAAATTTACTTTTGCACCTCTCGGGACATCCCACCTGAACACGAGCTTCTATTCTATTACAGTCGGGACTATGCACGACAGCTTGGTAAGTAAGTGCTCATCTTTTTTGGCTTTGCAGGGAGTACACAGCTTGAATTCCCTTTTAGTGCCATCTCTGGGCACTGTGACTTGGGAGTGCATTATATTCCTTCTCAGTTCCTAGGGGTGACTACAGGAGTACCATCGTTTAAAAGGAGTATTTCACTATCTAGTTCCACTGATCAGGAGTAAAAGAAGACAGCAGTTTCAAAGAAAAGGGGCTGTTTTTCTTCTGTTTATCCATCTGGTACTAAGGGAGTTTTAGTAGCTGAAGATGTTCCTATCCTCCCCCACCTTTGGTTGTGATAATTGAGGTTTGGTGGAGCTGTGCTCACAACCATTCCAAAGTTTGGCCCCTCAAAATGTTTGAAATGGCCTACATAAAAGAGGTGAAAAGCAAGCACTGGAGCTGAAAGGAATGGGAGTGAATAACTGCAGCTGGCTTTGCTGCCACAGGCAAAGTGTTAACATGGCTCACGCTCTGTTAGGCCTTGTTGTCCTTGTTAAAAGTGATGCTTTTGTGCCTAAAGGTGTCCCCGAACATCCAGATGTGCACATCTGCCACTGCGGAAAGGAATGTGCTTCCTATGCGGACTTCAAGGCCCATTTGAGCAGTCATATTCACAACCACCTTCCCAGCCAGGGGCACAGCAGCAGCCATGGGCCAGGCCATGGCAAGGAAAGGAAGTGGAAGTGCTCCATGTGCCCCCAGGCTTTCATCTCCCCTTCCAAGCTTCACGTCCACTTCATGGGGCACATGGGCATGAAGCCACACAAGTGCGATTTCTGTAGCAAAGCTTTCAGTGATCCTAGCAACCTACGGACACACCTCAAGATACACACAGGTAAGAGTTGGGGACTTCACAGAGATGCCTGTGCTAGTAAAACATTGGGGCAGGACCCGTTCTCTCTGATCCTTTGGCCAGTTAGCGGGCATAGCTTGTGTCCATAAATCTAAGCTCTTAGAAACATAGAATTGTAGAATGTTTTGGGTTGGAAAGGATCTTTAAAGGTCATCTAGCTCAACCCCCCTACAATGAGCAGGGACATCTTCAACTAGATCAGGTTCCTCAGAGCCCCATCCAACCTGACCTGGAATGTTGCCAGGGATGGGGCATCTACCACCTCTCTGGGCAACCTGGGCCAGTGTTTCACCACCCTCCTTGTGAAATATGTCTTCCTTATAGCTAGTCTAGATCTACCCTCTTTTAGTTTAGAACCATTATCCATTGTCTGGTCACAGGAGGCCCTGCTAAAAAGCCTGTCCCCACCTTTCTTATAAGCCCCCTTTAAGAACTGGAAGGCTGCAATAAGGTCGCCCCAGAGCCTTCTCTTCTCCAGGCTGAACAACCCCAGCTCTCTCAGCCTGTCCTCATAGGAGAGGTGTTCCATCCCTCTGATCATTTTGGTGGCCCTCCTGTGGACCCACCCGAACAGGTCCATGTCTTCCCTGTACTGAGGGCTCCCAAGGTGGACGCAGTACTCCAGGTGGGGTCTCACCAGAGCGGAGTAGAGGGGGAGAATTGTCTCCTTTGACCTACCTTTCTAAGAGTAGCAGCATCCTGACTGTCTATAGGAATGATCTCTAGTCCATGCTGACCCCAACTATTGCCGGGATAGGACCGCGCTAGGTTCAGTGGTGTAGGTGCTTAGAAGGTACATAGACCTGTGTTCTGGCTGATTGTGCCACATCTAAAAGCATGTGATGAGTTGAAGTTGATTACAGTTGGGAAGAAGTGTTGGCCTTCATCTGGGAGGCAGAAACCTTTTGTTCCACTAGCAGATTCAGTGCTGGCAGCTATGATAAAAAAAGGGTTATCTTCTGCTCATGAGAAAAAGCCAACTGGGTTTGAGAGCTTGTAATGTGGGCAGTTGTCCACTTAAATATGGGGCTGAGATCTTTCCCCTCTTTCCTACTTGAATTGTTTTTCATCTTAAGGAAAGAGCGCAAGACTGAAATTGGTGACTGTGGGGTCAGACTGATGTGGATAAGGCTCAGCTCTGTCACTCATCGAAACTTAAGTCTGAACATGCTGTTGACTTCTGTGGGCATGTGGGATATCACTGGAGGCTTTAGGGATAAAGGGAGAATTGCCAGCAGATCAGTGAATGAGCAGTAAAAGAGGAAAACCAAATAGTGAAAGATTTTTCAGCTGTGTAAGAAGACAGGAAATACAAAAAGGCATGGATTTAACAGAGTGAGTATAGGGGAGAGGTTGAAGGCCAGCAATAGACAGTGTGGATATTTTTACCTCCTTTTTTTTTCAGGAAGGTTGAAATAGCTATTGGGAATCACAGAATGCAAATCACAAAACTGGAAAGGGAATAGAACTGGGAGTTAGTGCACTTGAGTCAAGCATAGGAAGCAGTGGGCTCAGTAGTGAGGGGTTTTAATAAACTTACCAAGTACAAATTTAGTATACACGACAACAGAATAGTCAGTGGGATAGGGATGTAAGTGGTATTCAAACTTCTTAGGCTGGATTCAGCGGTGTGCACAGGTTTTGAACTATTTCTGGCAAAGAACAGTGGAAGAACTACAGATAAGTAGAAAAACGGGATAAACCACAGCAGTTACCAAAGAGCCAGTAAGCTTTGTACCTGTGTGTTTGTTCGATAAGAGAACTTGTTTTCCTAGACAAAGGCAGTGCAGTGCATCAAATGTGGTCAGGCTCCAGAAAGGCATCAGATACTGTTCTTGTGGGAAATGAGTGGACATGGGGATGTACTAATGTGCCGTAACTAGATGGCTACCATGGTTACTATTAAAAAGGAAGCTACCATTATTTTTACTCAAGAATTCATCTTGCATAAGCCTAGTCTTGCTAAGTGTTTGCCTGAATCCCTTTGCTGGAAAACTTACAAGTCTACTGGTGATGTTTTGATATGCAGAAGAGGCAGGCACAGTTGGTGTAGACAATAAGCAGAAAGCCTGTCTTACAGGAAAGGCTGACTGACCACAAGCACTGGAGGAAGAAGAATCAATAGTGTTTAGGACAAAGTGCAGAACAGTGCATCACATGAAGGGCTCAGTGGTTTGAAACAGTAGCATGTGAAGTGGATTTTTTGGCTTGTGGGCATGGGGTGGGGGATGAAAAGCTTTGGGAATGACAAATGAAGTCAGATGCTTTTTGCATAGCTAAATCATCTCAGCTATAACTAGGTAGGCTCTTATGCTGAGTCTGAAGGAACTGCAGGAGGAAAGAGGTCCTGTTCACAAAGAATCTGCCTTTCTTCAGGGTAAAATTTTATTTTTCAGAAGTGGTCAGGCTTGTCTGCTTACTGTATTTCTTGGGGTGCTGACTGTCAATTTGTGGGTGTACATATGTAATCCTAGGTCAGAAGAATTATCGCTGTACCCTCTGCGACAAATCGTTCACCCAGAAGGCTCACCTGGAATCGCACATGGTCATTCACACAGGGGAGAAGAATCTGAAGTGCGATTACTGTGAAAAGCTGTTCATGCGGAGGCAGGACCTCAAGCAGCATGTACTCACTCACACACAGTAAGTGGTCTCACAGGATGTGTTGGACTGGCCAGTGCAATGAAGCTGAACAACCCAAGAGAGAATCTCCAGTTTGCAAATCATAGAATCTTTGGGTTGGAAGGAACCTTTAAAGGTCATCTAGTCCAACCCCCCTGCAATGAGCAGGGACATCTTCAACTAGATCAGGTTGCTCAGAGCCCCGTCCAACCTGACCTGAAATGTTTCCAGGGATCGGGCATCTACCACCTCTCTGGGCAACCTGTGCCAGTGGTTCACCACCCTCATTGTGAAATGTATCTTCCTTATAGCTAGTCTAAATCTACACTCTGTTAGTTTAAACCCAAATAGTTTGGCCTAGGGAGTATAGGCTTATCCTCTAAAATGACAGGGGAGTCAATCTGGACAAATTCCTTGTTACTGTCTGAAGTTGTCCTATTCTAGTGTTGGCAGTATTTTAATGACACAGTAAATTCCAGACATGTACCTTGTCTTGTGCAGCAGCATTCTGAAGTGTTCATCATTTTGAAGAGAGAAGCGGTTAGTTGACTGACTTACATTTAGTTCTCTGCTGAGAACTGCTTCCACATCCCAACGTGACCATGAAAAATTATAAACTCCCAAATGCTCTTCTCACCAAGTAGCTTGTTAGTGAAGCCTCCCTGTCTTTGCACCAGGGACAGCGTGCAGCCATTCCCCAGTCCTACTTCCCCCCAGGGTCTCCCTTCATGCATTTGGTCTCCTCCTGCAAGGAGATGCCCATGGTTGGGGCAGATCCTCACCCCCAGGTCCTCCAGTTACCTACAGGTCTCTCCTAGCCCCCCAGCTCTCTGCCAGGCCAGGTCTTTCCTTCTGCTGTGAGACTCTCTCCATCCTGTTTGGATGTGGAGTAACTAAAGTCCTCCCTTAAAGGCTGCTTGCCCAAAGCTAGTCCCTCTGCTTATTTCGTTTTCAGCATCTGGTTCTTGGAATCGATTGCTGCTTCTGCCATGCTGCCTAGGAGACAGCATAGTGCAGCTAGCATGAACAAGTGAGAGGCAGACAGACTTGCTTTGCTGCTTGTTCTAGTGGCCAGAGCCAGGAGCACTACTGCTGGGAGGTGTTTTGCACAGTCATCTACAGAATTCGACTGTTGCAGTCTGGTAAGCCTCTGCTTAGCATTTACAGACTGAGCATTAACACTCAGCAGCTTTGTTTTCTTTTTTGTTCTTTTTTACCCCATGCATTTATGCAGGGTTGGGAAGGAGGGAGACTGACCTTTCCACCATGGCAACATCACTGCCCTTGCCAAAACATGGAGCTTAACTGGAGCTTGGTCTCTCTTACTCAAAAAATAAACAAACAAACCCCATGTAGAATTCTTTCTTCTTTAATTTACCATCAGGAAAGAAAAACAGTTGGTTGCAAGCTAGCAGTTCATCCAAAAAGCCTAACTTTTGCCAATGATGTTGGGACGGGGGAGCACAGAAGAGGCTTGGTGTACATACACTATGTGAGAGAAAACTGAGCAGTATTAACACTTTAGTGCTGCAGTAGTGCTGTTATTTTGGGTCTGCTTCTCTTTCAAGTATATTCAAAGTAAGGTTTAGGAGTAAGACTGACCTTTTCACTCTTCCTGTCACCACCAACCCACTATTTAATCCAGTATCAGCTGCCTTGCGGCAGGAGCAAACTGTAACTTTTTTATGTCTTGCAGAGAACGGCAGATCAAGTGCCCCAAGTGTGACAAGCTGTTTCTGAGGACAAATCACCTGAAGAAGCATCTCAATTCACATGAAGGAAAGAGGGACTATGTCTGTGAAAAATGCTCTAAGGCTTATCTAACCAAATACCACCTCACTCGCCACTTAAAAATATGTAAAGGCCCCACATCCAGCCTGTCAGCCCCAGAGGAGGAAGATTCGGAGGAGGAATTAATAGACTCTGTGAGGACTGAAGACTGTAGGATTAACAATGGAGTCTATTCAGCAGGTGATGCCCTCTCTGGACACAAATGAAGAGGAGAGAGAGGGAAGTTTTCTTCGATGTTAAAACTGGGGAAGGAAAAAAAAACCCTCTTCCTTGTTTCCCCAGTCAACAGCGTATGTCAAATGAGGAGTTTTCCTTCTATTTTGGTCTCCACACTACCACCGCTTAATAAACTCTCTAGCCAGAACACTGAATGCAAATGGATCATGCATGTACAAGTGAACAGTTGCTAAGAAGGAAAGGTGAGGCAAGGAGATTTTTTCACACACACTGTGCATACTTCTTTTCCAAATCACTCAGATTAATCCATCCAGTGCCAGGATACATGACACACCTTGTATAGCCCTGTGAGTAAAGAGCCACAAACCAGAAGTGAAGTGATTGCAGTGAGCTGTAAGCCAACTTCCTTAACTGCCAAAGCCATGATAATAAGAAAAACAAACAAAAAAATGGTGGTAGCAGACCATGCATTTTTCTTTTTGACACTTTTTAACTGAAGGATGTAGTTTGGCACAGAGCAAGGACTGTCAATGCTTAGGTTTCCTTCTAAAAATAATTAAAAAAAAGAAAGTGAGTGAAATCAGCATTTGCAGACAAAGCAATTATCCCATGACGGAAAATAAAGAATCGGCTTTTGGAGAACAGTTATTGCCTCTTCTCACTCTAGTTCACTAGACCATGTAAGCAGGTGAAGAGGTAAAGACTGTACAGACTCAGTAAGGAAGAGGCTTACAGATGATCAGACAGTGTTTACAGTATATATCACTTCTTGTGCTGTAAACCTTTTACCACCTAGAGTGATGGGAGGGTTTGCTGCTACTATTATTTATGGAATGATGTATTTCATTCAGTTGTTTTCTTTTAAAAAAATTAAAAATGTGGCTCTTTTTCTAATGTTCTTTTTTAATATTTACACATTCTGAAAAAAAGAGTCCTGTCTCTGCTAATGCTGCTAAGAAAGAGAAATAACCCCACTTTTTAATCATTTGCCTCTCCCTACCTTTCCTGGGACAAGGTAGTGGTAGGGGCACCTCCATGAACAGGTGCAGCTAAGAATTTCTCTTTAAACCTTGTAGATTTGGTGTATGGCTGCTCTGGCTGTGCTGCAAAAGCACAGTACACTGAGCTCTGTTCTCTGACAAGGCAGCTGAAGGTCCACCTGCGAAAAGAGGCTCCAGTTCTTGCCCTAAATGACTTAAGTTCAGCTATACCTGTCCCTGTACGCTGTATGTCCTAGAGAGCTCCCTGGGCTTTTCAGACCTGAAAAAACACATAATGCTTGTCCTCTGAGATGAGTAAAGCTGAATAAAAAGCTCCAGAAAGACAGGTTGAGGGATTTTGTTTAGTCAACAGAAAGATGTGTTGGTTGCTTCAACCATTTCTTCCTAAAACAAAAAGCAACATCTAGAGCTACAGTGCCAATTAATGGCAGAGGTAACAGAAATTCCTACCCTCAAAGAGCTTAACATGAAGTGTTTATTTCAAGTGAAAGCTTTGAAAAACTTGCAGCTTTTCAGTGGAGAACACTTGAACAGAGGTGGTTCTGGTGCTTTCACCTTCTTAAGCTTCACAAAAGCAGTTTGTTGTCCCTGCATTGTTCACTATTGCTCGGCAGAGAAAGGATTCAGACAGAAATCCCAACACATCCAAAATATTCTTGGTTCCTGCAGAGCCATGCTAAACACCTGTCACCAGACTAGAAACAGCCAAATTGGAATTAGAACCAACCACTTCAAGGGTTGGGAAGGAAACCTGCCACCCTGCCTTTTCCCCATCTGCAGTCTGTAGTGATACAATTTATCATCATCAGCTTTACCTCACCAGAATGAGTCAGAATGAGCTAGGGTGGAAAGCAGTGGCAAGATCTTGTCAACTACATGCACTGATGCTACAGCTGCTTTGATACCAGTTGCTTTAATACCCTGGGGCATTTTTGCAGCAGCAGCTCCAGTAGGGAGGGAGGGAGGCACTTCACAGGAGGAGAAGAGTATCATTTAACTTCTGGCCGGGAGTAAGGCACTTGGGTGTTCATTTTAAGTCTGAGGAAATTGTCTGAGTCACATTCCTCGACTAGGTTCCTGATGCTGTAAAGGAAGTGGTTAGGCTGATACTCAAAATGTTCCTCCATGCCTTCAGGTTTCAGGCAGAAATGCCTGGGAGGAGTTAAGAACATGGACAGCTTTCACTGGCAACTGACCAGCTGAGATCCCTACCCCTGCTTTGTGTCCTGACAGCCTCTTGTCCTCTTCTGAGTAGTAGCTCCTTCCCTCACTTCAAATTCTCTTATTATGTTTGGAGCTTAAAGAAAAACCCAACAGACATGCAACATCAATAAGCTTCAGGTGCTGTGGAACCAGGGAAGAGAAACCCTTGATCTTGATGGGATAGAGCTGAGATATTTCTGGTTTGATATTGGTGATCTGAGGTGTTAGAAATACACTTCAGGATTCTACTTGGGGACTCCAACCTACTGCCCAAGAAATACTCATAAGACTTAAAAAAGTTACATAGAAGAACTTTTAAAATCTGTACTAGAAATCTGTAAATTTAGCCTTAAATTAAGGATAAATGACCTATTTACACTTGCCATTTCATTCAGCTTTTATTTCTTACACAACTGCTGGCCGAAGTACTTGTCCTTAAGCCTTTAGGAGATATTCACCTGCTTTGTAGTACTCAACAAACTTCTGGTGGCAGCAGGATGCTTTTCTGGTGACTATTTCAATTATCTATCAACTTTACACATAGTAGCCTCTCTTTCAGGGATCATCATCTCAGGCAAAAGCAAGTGATGGAATCTTTCAAAGCCAGTAACAGAGGCAGGAACTTAAAACTGCTGACTTAGAGCTTAACCACATCACCATGTTTCTTTGAGATGAAGCAGCCCACTGCAAGACACTAGAGTCATTTCTATGAACTCTCACCAAATGAGGATTTGTAGAATGCACATTAGTCGTAGTCCCATTAACTACTTTGACTTTGTGATGTTTGGTCCATCATGATTCCATTGCTGTCTCCGAATCGTTGCTGCTACTGCCAGCCATGGAGCTGCAAGCCGCAGAGCTCGCACTAGCCAGGACAAGTCTCTCTCTGTTTCCAAAAACTTCATTCACTGCAACACAGATAGGGGATTGCTTACACATTACTGTTCCAGGGACAAGAGCAGCACAGCAGGCACAGCATGGTGAGCGTCTCGGAACGGAATTCCTAACCTGGTGCAGTTTTAAAGCTTTCCCCATTCCCCATGTAGGGAGTTGAAGTTTACACGTCAGAACAATCTCCCACATATGATACTTACATTACAAGTCCTGTTATTTCTCCCCCAGAGCATCTCAAGAGGTTTGCCTGTGCATAATTCCTGTACCTAAGTACTGTGAAATGGATGAGTTTTGTAGAGCAAAACATTAAGTTTAAATAATTTATTTCTGGTTTTAGTCTCTCTGGTTTCTACCAAGCTCTTAAAAGCCTGCTCCAAAAATCCATGCCATTTAGTTACATGTAGCTATGACAACCGATCAAAACCAGTCCTCACTTTTATTTCTACATGTAATTAAGAATGTGATACTTGATTACACCAGGAACATTAAGAAAAAAGCAAAATATAGGCATTATACTTCAGCTACAGGAAAATAAGTCATGTGGCAAACACAGGTTCTCCAAGTTAGGAAAAACCCACATTTTTTGAAGCTGAAAACATGAACACATACGCAGTCTTGGGGTATTTAAAAATATTAACCTACAGTTTCTCTCAGAACCACATCACAGCACATTACTGAATATACAAATACACCCTTTTCCCCCAAATACACCCTTTTCCCCCAAAGGGAGAAACACAAGATTCAAAGCAATGAGAATTTTACCTGCAGAAATCTTGCTTATATCCCAAACACGCAGCCCTTCTCGCTCTCCTCCAAAGGCAAAAACAAATGGGAAGTCAGGGCAGCAAGCTGCACAGAAGAGAACACCCTGGAGGGAGACAGACAGAGGAGCTTTTTTTTTTTTTTTAAAAATCATCCTAAAATGAATTTGTCATCTGAAAATACTTTCACCAAGCAAGTTTTAACAAATGTAAACTCTATGTTTCCTGAAACTTATTTTGCAAAGACACAAAATCAAAGTCAAGAGCTGCTAATTACAAACAGTAAATCACACCTTTGTCTTGAACCTGGCAGATACACATTGGAGTATCTATAGTTCTACTCAGAACACTGTACCTGGTATTCAGGTCTGAGGCTTTGAAGCAATCTGACAATTACATCTCAAATTGAATATTGCACTGTAATGAGCATGATTTACCCAGAATACAGAGATGTGATTTTTTTTTGCCCCTAAAAGATGAATCTTGTTTTACATAATGTAACAAGTTAGACAAAGAAGATTAAGCAGACATAGTTTATATATAAACCCTCTTGGAATCAAGAAATAAATATTACTCTACCATTTTCATATTCCTGGAATGGATTAAACTTGGTCTGTCTCCCAGGATATCCCAAATTTTCACGTATTTGTCAGCAGATGATGTCACAAGGCACCCTTTGATCTGACTGCTTAGCTGTAACCCTGGAAGATGAAGAGTGCAGCAGTGTGAGAGCACCAAGTAACCACTATTTCACAGAGATGAGGATACATTCTGAAGTGAAGTCATCAGAACAAACCTAATATTCTCCTCACACTAAACTGTTTCATGCTGCCACTGCTCCCTATAGTGAGAGCAAACCGACTTCAGGTAGGCCTATTTTGTCTCAATCCAACAACAGTAACAATGCAGAGATGCTATTGTTCCCCTTCTTACTTCACATGATCTGGCTTTCCCAGGTAGTTTTCTTCACTCATTTGCCAAAGACCATCTCTTTTGCTATCCAAGATGGTGGGACACATTCATGTGATCCCGTTTTAGACACCGAATCAGGTCATTCAAATTGCTATTCAGAAGCTCCTACACTGATCAAATAATTAAAGTAGCCTAAAGGAGGCAGTGTGAGAACCTTCCCATGTGCCATAGCTAAATCATCTCCAGAGTGAATGTCAGTATAAAATAACTATGGCTATAGGAGGTAAACATTATAATTAATAATCCTGGACCAGACTGCATGGTTTTTGTTCTTCCTCAGCCAAAAAACAAAGGGAGTGTGTCCCAAGTGAACAGATCTGTTTTGACATACTTATTCACTGAGAAAAGTTCACTGTTGTTAAAAGACTTTGCTTACAATGGCTTCTCAGCAGAGATTTGTTTCATGCGCCAGCTACCCATGATTAGTATGCATAACTCTTACTTGTTAAGCAAGGAATCACTACCACCTCAGTCATATTGGTTAAAGACCTCTTCCAGATGTGCCTCATCACTGGGGACAAACACAACACACACCATTTACCTGACACCTCTTCATCGTGAGCTTTCAGAGTAAACAGTGGCTTATCAGAACGAGCATCCAGACAGTAC